TAGGGTTTAGGGTTAGGGTTTAGGGTTTAGTGTTTAGGGCTTACGCAGCTGCATGCCTTCTGCACAGGTAAAATTTTCAAGTCGGGCCGCTGCAGGCGGAGGGCAGCATCTTGATAAGGGAAATCCCACTTCCTGACCACTCAAACCCTAAACCCTAAACCCTAAACCCTAAACCCTTAACGCTGTACCCTTAAGCATAAGTCTCAAGGGCGAATCCCGAGAAGCTTTCCTAGCTAATTTAGGCGCCCACATTTGCAAGCATTTTGGGCTTTAGGATGTAGGGCTTGTCTTTAGGGTTTGGAGTTTAGGATTTGGGGTTTAGGGCTTGGGATTTAGGGTTTAGGGTTTAGCTTTACTCGATGTCAAGCTGCTTGCCGTCCAGTATGACGCAGTCACTTTTGATTTTCAGAACTTCAGCTGCACACAAAATGAACCCTAGACCCTAAGCCCTAAACCCCAAACCCTAACCCCTAAACCCTAAACCCTAAACCCTAAACCCTAATCCCGCCTTGGAATAAATTACGGCGCACTTGTCATTTCTTCGAACAAGGAGCCCTCAAGTTCCGGATCGAATGGTGGGGCTCTTGGGGCCCCAAACCCTAAACCCTAAACCCTAGAGCGCAAACCCTAGGCTCTTAATCCTAGACCGTAAACCCTAAACCCTAAACAGCGCAATCGAGACCCCGAAGGCAGAAGGAAAAGGCCCCGAGGGTTTGGCGGAGGCATCTGCTGCGAGTAGCAGCGCTGGAGGACTTCAAAAAATGTAAAATAAAAAGAAGTGAAAAAGAATTAACTAAAGAAGTTCTAAGCATTCATAGAAAGCTGAGCAGCCGGGGTGTTTATGGGTGGGGTTGTTCCGGGTTTGCTGTGATTAAGTCGGCAGCGGAAAAGAGAAATTGGAATAAAAATAGAAATGCCAAAAGAAGTCAAAGGAGTCGAGGTTTCCCGGAGTTACAGGTGTACGTACACCTCAGCTTCCCTGCTAGTGGGAAGTGGGTGGTTCTGGGGCTTGGGGGGGCCCCCAGGCTGCCGCGGCGGCCATTTAAAATTAATTATATAAATAAAATACATTTAAAGGGTTTATTTCCGCGTTTTGGCTTCTCGCGAGCTCGGGTGTACGTAGACCTGAGTCCAGCTGCGCACCGCCCGCCGAACCCCCCGGAGGGTTTGTAGGCCACACCCACTCATTTTGCCAGCCTTTTGCATTATTCTTCTTTTGTATTCTTATTTTTCTTCTTATAATATATTTAAATTTTAAAATTGCCCCTCTCTGACCCCAGAGAACCCCCAAAAACCCATCAGCTCTCGCCGGTGTCTTCGCAGGTTTGCAGCGCTGCTGCCCACCAAAGCGCTGCAGCGACTTGGAGTTCAGGGCCTAGGGTTTAGGGTTTAGGATTTAGGCCGTGTGTCTACCGCGAAGTTGAGGGTTTAGGGTTTAGGGTTTGCATCTCGCTGGCAACGGCTAGGGTACAGGGCCTATGGCGTGTTGGCTAGGGCGAGGGTTTAGGGTTTGCGAGTTGCACTTTGGACGGAAAGCCCTCGATATTGATAGGGCCAAACCCTAAACCCTAAACCCTAATTTTTTCCAGGATGGAGCCTTTAATAGGGGGGCCTACTTCTCCTTTCCGCTCGGCCAACACCTGTAAGCCTCTCCTCGCTATTTAGCGTTATCTTCAGATGCAGATTCACGGGATTTAGGGTTTAGGGTTTAGGGTTTAGGGTTTGCATGTTGCGTCGCAGCTGCAGCTTCTTCTCTTCCTCTCGACAGCCAGCAGCCGCGGGAGCTGAGCGACTTTTCCTTTTACAAAGCTGTGAATACGGGTAGGCGGCGCCTAGGGTTTAGGGTTTAGGGTTTAGGGTTTAGGGTTTAGGGTTTAGGGTTTGCGAGCTCTGCAGCCGACAAAACCCTGCACAGCACCTACAGAAGAGGCAAACGCAGCGCCGAGACCTCCAAGCTGAAGAGTCTCCAGTCTCAAGACAGTTTCAAGCGAGACGCCCTCAGGACAATAACCAGGCAAACTCTAAACCCTAAACCTTAAACCCTAAACCCTAAGCCCTCGTTTTGGCTCGCTGCGTCTCGCCGCAGCCGCTGCGCGCGACCCTAGAGCTTCGAGGGGTTTGCAGTCGCAGCAGCTGCCCTTAGGGTTTAGGTCTCCCTGGTCTTTTAGGGTTTAGGGTTTAGGGTTTAGGGTTTGTCATCTCAGGTTTTTGTCGTTTTCCGAATTTCCGGGGCCTCTTTCGGCCAAGGCTTTGAGCAGCCCCCAGCGGTCTCTCCTGATTGAAATATGGGGTCACCTCTTCAGGTGCTAAACCCTAAACCCTAAACCCTAGACTCTAATAACTAAACCCTAGGCTCAACTGCCTAAGCTATACGGACGGCAGTTCATTGCACTGAAGGCACCTTTCAGTTTCGGGCTCCTTAGCGCGCAGGGTTGAGGGTTTAGGGTTTAGGGTTTAGGGTTGAGGGTTTGGGGTGGGCTGTGGCCAGCACTAGATGAACAGAAAGGCGATAAAGCGTCAGCCAAACTAGCTGTCTGAAAGTTGCACTTAAACTGAAAAGCTGCAGCAGCAGCAAGTGCAGCAGCAACTGCAGCAGCAACTGCAGCAGCAGCAGCAGCAGCAGCAGCTGCTGCTGCTGCTGCTGCTGCTGCTCTAGCATCTTTGAATTGGAAGAAATACCTTTAGAATTGCCTAGGCCGGTTGTGTGAATAACTGCTGCTGCTGCTGAATCTGCTGCTGCTGCTGTTGCTGCCGCTGTTATGGGGATTTGTTTGTCGCGGGTTTATATCTTCGAATCGTCTGATCCAAGTTAATTAATTTAAATTCATTTATTTATTTTATTTTTTATTTTTTATTTACTTTTATTTTTTTATTTCAGGCGCTGCTTTGATGACTCTGTTAAAATAACTGCAGAAAATGTAAACGACGAAGTCCCCAGACTATTCAAGGAAATCGGGTGGGCCTAGGGTTTAGGGTTTAGGGTTTAGGGTTTAGAGCGCGGGTTAAGGGTTTGGGGCTCAGGGTTTAGGGTTTGGGCTCTAGATCTTGGGCCTAGGGTCCAGGCTTTAGGTCTAGGGTTTAGGGTTTGGCGTTTGCGATTAGGGCTTAAAGTTCAGGTTTTGAGTCTAGGGTTTAGGATTTAGAGTTAACGGCTTGAATTGAGGGTTTAGGGTTTAGGGTTTGGGTCTAGGGTTTAGGGTTTAGCTGAAGCGACTCAAACTAAATGCCAAGGCAGCCTCAACTTAATTACATTTAATTGTGAAGTCCTTAGGCTGTATTCTCGACTAAACTTGAATTTAAAAAGGTTTAATTTATTAATTATTCAATTATTATTTATTTATTTATATATTCGTTCATCATTTATTTATTATTTATTTAATTATTATTTACTTATTTGTTTATTTATTTATTTGAAACTCTCTTTATTGGATTTTCAACTCTCTCGCGGCCGCGCCGGCTCACCATCAAAACGCATGTAATGAATTATCTTCAATTTGTCATTTGCTTTTATTCATTTATTTATTTATTTACTTTATTTATTTATTTTTATTTATTTTAATTGCGTTTCATGCATTTTAAGTCAGTTTTTTTGAAAAATGCTTTTTGAATTTTTTGATTTTTGGGGTTTTGACTTTTGTGCGTCGAAACTTGAACAGCACATCGGGAGTGAAATAGGCGATTTTTTTCGATGTTTCAATTTTACTTCATTTTAATTGAATTTAATTGATTTTAATTGATTTTAATTGATTTTAATTGATTTAAATTCTCTAGATTCGCTTTTTTTCCACTCAGGTACCCCTTTCCCATAAGCAAAAGCGCCATGTTGGCCCCAGGCACAGGCCACCAGTGGCCCCACCACTTGGCGGCCCTCAGTTGGCTTTGTGAACTTTTGATTTACGAAAATGAATTTTTCTTTCAAGAAGAAGAAACCTCGGAATGCTCCGTAAGCCCTAAAAAAGGGTTTTGCAAGGGTTTGCGCGGGCCTTTGCAAGGGTTTACAGCCCCCACGGGTCTGCGCCCTTTCGAACGGGGGGCGGGCGAGGGCTCGAAACCCTAAAATAGGTTTTCGAGAGGGGATTCAAAAAGAGGGTTTGGAAGACCCTCAATGCGCTTGAGGCGAGGGTTTTACGGCGAGGGTTAGGGCTTTAAAAAAGGGTTTTGAGAAAGGGTTTGAAAAAGGGTTTTAAGCCTTTAAGAGGGGTTTTAGAAGGGGTTTTAGAAACGAACTCAAAGGGGGTTCAGGAAGAGGGTTTAAAATGGGGTTTAGCGCGAGGGTTTGAAGCTTTAGAAAAGAGTTGGAGGAGAGGGTTTAAAAAGGGTTTAAGACAAGGGTTTAGAGGTTGTAAAAGGGTTTTGAGAGAGGGTTTATGAAAAGAGTTTCAAATGAGAGGGTTCAAGGTGAGGGTTTGGAGGTTTGAAAGGTCTTTAGGGAGAGGGTTCAAGGTGGGGTTTAGGGCGAGGGTTTGAAGCGAGGGTTCTAGAGGCTTTGAAGAGGGTTTGAAGGAAGGGTTTGAGGCGAGGGTTTCTAGAGGGTTTAGAACAGAGGTTGAAGCGAGGGTTTAGCTAGGGTTTAAAACAAACCTTTGGCGGCTTTTAAGAGAATACTAAAGGGGAGGGTTAAGGGCCAGAGTCGAAAGCGAGGGTTTAGAAGCAGATCTAGGGAGACAGTTTAGCGGGTTTTAGGGCGACGGTTTGGGGCGTCAGCTCTAGGGTTTAGGGTTTAGGGTTTAGGGGTTTAGGGTTTGTTATGTGCATGCAGGGTCCAGCAGATGTTGTGGGCAAACTGGTGGCTGCTGCCTATCCCCAGTTGGGTAAAGACCCTCAGGCTTTGCGTACAGCTGTCTGTGCGTCTCAAGGGTTTAGGGTTTAGGGTTTAGGGTTTGGGGACCTTGGGTCTATCCATCTTTACTCGGAGTTTGAGTTCTTAGGTCTATTTTGTATCCTCAAGTTACCCATGGAGATCGTGTGCCTCTGCTGCTGCTGCTATGTCTTGCTGCTGCTGCTGCTGCTGCTATGTCTTGCTGTTGCTGCTGCTGCTGCAGTGGGGCAGCTTCAGGCTATGAAGAGAGACGCAGAGACTGCGCAGCAGCAAATGCAACAGCAGCTACAGCAGCAGCAGCAGCAGCTCGCTGGAATAGAGACAGAGTTACGCGATAACGCCTCTTTGATGGTATGACCACTTCCCACCAGCAGCAGCAGCAGCAGCTGCTGCTGCTGCAGCCAAAGTCACTGCAGCAGCAGCAGCAGCAGCTGCCGCTGCTGCTGCTGCTGCAGTCAGAGCAACTGCAGCAGCTGCAGCAGCAGCAGCAGCACTTGGTTTTTGTTGCTGCTGCTCCTTCAGGATACAATAGAGCAGCTCAGGAGAGAGGCGGATTCTCTTCGCCGACAAATTGCTGAAACTCGATCTGAGATATCTAACGAGGCGAGTTCTAAACCATAAACCCTAAACCCTAAGCCCTAAACCCTAAGGTGCACTTTTGAGTGAGGCATGCAGCGTGCTTGTGGGTGCTTGGCGGCGTTGCCTGGATTGCGTTAGTGGTGCCTGTAGGGTTTAGGTATAGGGTTTAGGGTTAAGGGTTTGGGGTTTAGGGCTTAGGGTTTAGGGTTTGTGGCTGCTGCTGCAGGAGAGCGTGGCTGCAGCAACAGAAGCAGAAAGAGACTCGTTGCTGCAGCAGCAAAAGGCAGCACTAAAAGAAGTGAAAAGGCTGGAGGAGCGCGTCAAGGCCCAAGGGGTGAAGCTCCTCAGAGTTTAGGGTTTAGGGTTTAGGGTTTAGGGTTTGGTTTGACTGTTAGAGTTTGCACTGTAGGGGTGTCAAGGAAGACTCGAAGCTTTCAGCTGCAGGTTATGCGGCACTTCGTGGCTTAACACAATGGGATAATGGTTTAGGGCATAGGATTTAGGGTTTAGGGTTTAAGGCTTAGGGCTTTGCGCAGATTGACAAGGCCGAGGTGGAGAGGATTCGCCATGACGTGGCTCGCCTGCGGGACGGAGTTTCTCATCGCGCTAAAGTGAGAAAGGGTTTAGGGTTTAGGGTTTACGGTTTAGAGTTTAGGAGGCACGCTCAAAGGGAAGAAGCAGCGACTTCTAGGGTCTACGGCCAGGAGTTTAGTGTTTAGGGTTTAGGGTTTAGAGCTCAGGGCGTATACTCAAGGAAATGCTGAAACAGCGATTCTGGGGCTTTAGGGTTTAGGGTTTGTTTTTGAGGTTTTGGAGTTTAGGGTCTAGGGTTGAGGGTCGAGGGTTTGTGTTAATTCAACATAAATGTCGCTGCTGCAGGGTTTTCGGTCTAGGGTTTAGGGTTTAGGGTTTAGATTTTAGACACATCATTTTGAGTGGCTGTCGAATCTTTGGCCATTTTGGTTAAGAATGCTGTTGCTGCTGCTGCTTCCTGTGGCAGTTTACTCATTTTGCTGCGGCTATTGCTGCTGCTGCTGCTGCTGCTGCTCCCCCTCAGGAAATTGAAGTCTTAAGTGAGGGGCTTCAGGATCTCGTGGACAAAGTAGGCGCAGCTGCACCCTTTCGTGCTGCTTCTGCTGCAGCTGCTGCTGCAGCTGCTGCTGGCGCAGCTGTTGCTGCTGCAGCTGTTGTTGCTGCTGCTGTTGCATGCTCTGGCTTCTCCTTCGTTGCGTCTGTTGCAGATTGCTGACGACTCGGAGAAGCTGCGCATTGCGGGCCAATCGGTAATGCCTGTTTACGGCTTTTGCTGCTGCGTTTGCTGCTACTGCTGCTGCTGCTGCTGTGCTGCAGCTGCAGCTGCTGCGGCCGTGTGCGTTTGCTGCCGCAGGTTAACGACGCTCTCAGCAACATGGCGCAGCTAGCAGTTTCTGGGAAGCTGCAGACAGCAGAAGCTTGGAGTGCTTTGCCGAAGATGGAGACGGTCCCTGCTGCTGCTGCTGCTGCAGGCGGTGCTGCTGCTGCTGCTGCTGGCAGCGGCGGAAGCGCCGCCGCTGAGCGCGCTGTTGCTGCTGTTGCTGCTGCTGCTGCATGTGATGTAAAACGAGCAACCAAGGAGATAGTAAGCCGGAGAGACTCTCTCGTTTCAAGGCTTTGAAGCGACAGCGTTAGTGCTGCTGCAGTTGCGAATTTGCTGCTGCTGCTGCTGCTGCCTCTTTTGCTGCTGCTGCTGCAGCTCCACCGTTTGCTGCTGTGGCTGCTTTTGCTGCACTTTTTGCTGCTGCTGCTGCTGCACCCTTTGCTACTGCTGCTGCTGCTGCTATCGAGTCTGAGCTTCCTCAACAATAATAATGAAATAATTTAAAAAGACGAATAAAAAAATCAAATTATGATGGAGACTTATTTAGATCAAGTGAAAATGATGTGGGGCTGCCAGTTTTTGTTTTCCTCAATTTACTTTTTTTTTGCAATAGAAACACCAGCGGTCCTCTGGTTGCTGCTGCTGAGGCCCGCATACCCTTGCTGCTGCTGCTGCTGCTGCTGCAGCTGGGGGTGGACTGGACGGAGCTGAAGAAAGAAATGCTGCGGGTAATGCGTCTCGAGGAAGAGGCGAAGGAAGAGGCAAGTCGTTAGCTGCACGCTCCCGGTGTACGTACACCTCGCCAGCTAGCTAGCTAGCTAGCTAGCTAGCTAGCTAGCAGCGTAATAGCCTGCCTGGCTTGATAGCTAGCTAGCTAGCTTGCTAGCTAGCAGGCAGGCTGTTATGCTGGTAGCTAGCCAAGACCCCGAGTTTGCTAGCAAGCTTTCCAGCTTGCTAACCAGCTAGCTACCCAGCCAGCCAGCTGGCTAGCGAGCCAGCTAACTAGCCAGCTATCCATGCAGCTAGCCAGCCAGCTAGCCAGCTAGCTGGCCAGCTAGCTAGCTGCAGTTTGGAGGGTTCTGCTGCTTCTTTTGATGCGCAGACTCAGCAGCAACGCCAGCGGTTGGGGAAAGAAATTGAGAAGTTGAAAAAGGCCATAAAAGACCTCCTGGCAGTACGTACACCTCAGCTGCTGATGTTTAGGGTCTAGGGTTTAGGGTTTGGGCTTCAGGGTTTAGGGTTAAGAGTTTGGGGTTTGGGGTTCAGAGTTAAGCGTTTAGTGTTTGGGGTTTAAGCTGCAGCCCGAACCACGAGCCTTAGCCTAAACCCTCAAGCGTTTCTCTCAGCCAAAATAACTCAAAATCTCTAAAGATCCACTTTTGGGGTTTAGGGTTTGAGAAGAGGGTTTAGGGTTTAGGCAGTGAGCCCCAGGGGCCCCGCCTCGTCTCATGCGATAAACTCCCAGATTTTCGTAAACCCTATACCCTCAAACCCTGACCAGAAACCCTAAACCCTAGCCTATTCTGAAACTCCTGCTGAGGGTTTGTGGCCTAGTGTTTGCCGGCTGCGAGCGCATGCAGTCCGTCGTGGTTTGGATTCATGCCTAGGGTTTTGGATTTAGGGTTTGAGGTTTAGGGTTTAGGGTTTAGGGTTTGGGGCTGATTTATCTTTTCTTGTGGAGCAGAGCCGGAAGACTCTGGAAAAGCGCATGCAGCTTGTGCAGGAAGATCTGCAGCAACTGCAGCAGCAGCAGCAAAACGAGCAGCAGCAGCTGCAGGAAGCCGAGAGAGAACACCTGGAGGGGGTGAGGGAAGCCAAGCAGCAGCACCAGCAGCAGCAGCAGCTGCTGCAGCGGCTGGTGCAGCAGCAGGAGCAGCTGCTTCAGCAGGAAGAGCGCCAGCAGCAGCAGCAAGCCGCAGCTGCCGTCCAGGACCTGCAGCAGCAGCAGCAGCAAGCGCTGCAGCAAAAGCACTTGCTGCTGCAGCAACTCAAATGCCTGGCTGAAACTAAACAAGCTGAATATACAGCTTTAGAGCAGCAGCTTTTAGAACTCTCCGAGGCTTTAGGCCCTTCCCCAAACCAAGAAGAGCCACCCCAATAAAGCCTTTTACAGAAACGTTTTTAGAATGCGACCCTAAAGGGGTTTAAATCTCAAGGGGCCCCCCTTCAGGGGCCCCTTGAGGGGGCCCCCCTAAAGGGGGCTCCTTTCAGGGGGCCCCCCTAAAGGGGCCCCTGGAGGGGGTCCCCTGAAGGGGTGCCCCCTTCACGGTGCCCCCTGAAGGGGGCACCCCTCCCTTCTGGGGCCCTCTTCTGGGGGGGCCCTCAGAAAAGGAGGAGCCCCTAAAATGATGTTTTCAAAGGGGAGTACGGGCCAAGAGCGTTCCTAGAGAAGACCCTTGAAGGGGGCCCCGAGGCCCCTTTAAGGAGGGCCCTTATGCCCCCTTTAAGGGTCTTTTCTAGGGCCGCTTTAGTGGCCCCCAGGCCCCTTCAAAGGGGGCCCCCAGGCCCCCTTTAAGGATCCTTTTTAGGACACTCTTGTCCGCTGCTCTCTTCAGGAAATATCTTTTTAGGGGCCCCTGTTCAACGTGGGTCCCTTCTTTGAGGGGCCCCCTTTGAGGGCCTCCTTCTAAGAACCCTTTCAAAGGCCCCAAGGAGGCCTCCTTTTAGGGGTTTCTTTTTAGGGGCCTTTCGTTGAGGACCCCCTTTAAGGGGCCCCCCATTAGAGCCGCTTTGGGGTGCCCCCGGGGGTCCTCTGGGGGGGTTTTTGAGGCCCCCAAGTGCAGCTTGGCTTGTAGGCGTAGCCCTTGGGGCCCCCAACTGTTCTGAACACTTTTTGTTTTATTGTTTTTCTGCATTGGCCACAAGAGCAGAGCTCACTTATCTGTTTCAAGAGGCGAAGAGAGGCAGCTAGCCAGGCTACTGCCTAGCAAGCTAGGACCTTACCTCGCTCACTGCGTGGCTAGCTATTCAGCCAGCTGGCTAGCTAGATAGCTAGTTAGCTGTAGCTATCCAGCTGGCTAGCAGTGGCTAGTTGGCTAGCTAGGTACTGGGATGGTTCTGCGGGAGGAAATGGACTTATTTGCCGTCGCTTCCCAGTGCTTGTAGAGGCAGCCGGGTGTTCGGCTATCTATCTAGCTAGCTAGCTAGCTAGCTAGCGAGCTAGCTAGCTAGCCAGGCAGTCAGCGGCGTGGCTACCCAGAGACTGCGCTGGTGAGGGGCCCGGGCAGCAGGCCAAGCAGCTAGCTAGGGAGCTTCAGGCAATGCGTGCTAGGGCCAGGATGCTCTGGGAGTGGCTAGCTAGCTAGTATGGCGCTGCGAAACGAATAACAACAGCAGCGCACCGCAGTGCGTGGCGCTGCCAAAGGAATAATTGCAGCAGCACACCCCAGTGGGTGGAGCCGGCCTCAACTACTTGTAAATGCACTTCTTTCTTAGCCCCCTCAGCTAAGAATGGGGTCTCAAAACAAAAATAAAGTGGACTGGCGGGAAACGGGAAGTTCGGCGAGCCCGATTTTGCTAAGGTAGTGAAAGGTGCTGCAGCAAATCGTGGGCGCTCTGACTTCACACCCAGAACGCGGTTATGCCCAAGTGGCCGACAGAAATGCTACTTCGGAAGTTTCTGAATTTGTATTTTCTTAAAATGTACTTTGCACGTAGTTTTGCACTCCGGCTGCTGGGAAAGCCTGGTGAAGAAAGTGCGCAGCGTTGCTGGATACGGAGGGGAGCAAATGAAGGGCAACAAACAAACTTAATTCGCTCGAGCAACTAGAGGTTCTTTGTATATTGTATACGGCGCCAAACGAACTTATTGCTCTACTGGCTTAAAGTCTTTGCAGATTCAAGAAGTGAATCTACAGGGAACCACACCTGCAGCCGACTAGTTGGCAATTCAGTGAGACGCTAATTTGTCGCCAGCAGCAGCATAGTTTGCTACTTTGTCATCTCTCGAAACGGAAATTTTTATATCAAACGGAAGTGCCGGTTTTCTTCGCCGGAGTTTCCCAGGAGAATGCCCCGGTACAGAAGCGTCCATCTTTGCAAGTGTTCACCGGCGAAATCCTTGCCATTGTATTCCACAGTGGAGAAAATATGCGTGATGTACTGACCAATAATTTACAAAATAGAAAACGCGTCCATTGCCCCTCTTGGCAGAAGGTGACTCGCATATCTCAAAGTGAACTGAGAAGTTTACTGCCAACAAGAACACCTCTTGTCTAAAGATGGTCCATCCTGTGTTGCCGATTGAAAAGTACTTGTACACGAGTGTTCTTAGGAAGTGCACCAAAATAAAGGTTCAAAGAAAGTTCAATGCTGGAGGTGGAGGCACTATGTTGGCAAGGCTGAAGAGTAGTAATGAACCATAGTCCAAAGACAACTTTCCTGAATTCGCAAACACACGCCAGTCTCAGAATAAAACCACTGGGCCACGCCTTGTCTTCCTAGCATCTTTGCTGGTTTTGAGTGCTCTTTGAGGTATCGGTGGCGTGGCGACGCAAGACGTACTGCATATAGCATCGGCAATTCTACTTGTATTCTCCATCAACTCTTGCAAAACGCGTTTCCCAAGCCTTTTACAGTATCAATTTATCTATCTGTTTGCTCATTAGCTCCAACAAACTAGCATTATTAGGGCCTTCGCGGGCTTTTCCATGGCTACGAGCCATTTGGACAAAAACGCATCACATTTCGCCGATTCAACACACCAAAGCAATCACTCCGGAAACAAAACCAAAAACCTGCAGAGGCCAACACCTCAAACCGGCGTTAATGTTTCTTGCAGTTGCTAGCCGATATGGTGTCTTCATAATGTCAAAGGCAAGAACCTCAGTACTGTAGTTTTACTACAAATGCTGCTCTCAGTTAAAAGTGCTATTCTTGGCTCTGCAAGCTTTCCAGGCTTTCAGCTGTGAGAATTGCACTTCCGGTGAAACTGCAGTACTGGAGCTCTTGCGGCAGTAGATACAAGAAGTAGTAAAAGTCGATTTGAGTAACCGGGGCTACCGCTATGAGGAACAAGCTGAAACTTCTGCTCGAAATGTCCAAAGTATCAAAGGCTGTTGGGCATTCTTGGCTTAGTTTTGTCATTGCCGTAAAATACTAAGATTATGCTCATATTCACCACTGCAATAATAAAAAGGGTCATTTATCCTAACTTGATTTGAACAAGGCTCAGGGAACTGTGCGCGGCCTTTCTACCGGAAGCTGTTTCCTTTTCGAATGCATCATAGTAAAAGTATGAATTAATGCAATGTGGTATGCCAGCTCCTCTTTTAGTCACATCAGTGAAACTCCTGGCAAATGCAAAATGCACATACTTTCCTACGGCATCAGTGCCTCAACTGGACGGTGAGACTGAAACTCGAAGCATTGCGTTGTTTTGCTAGAAAAATAAGACTCTGCTCTTACTCTTATGCTATGCTATTCTGCAATCGATTTCTATAGCTGAAGAAACAAGCTGCCAACATTTTGTTGACATTCCCCTCTATCCATCCGGTAGATATACCCTTCCGCTACACTGACCGCACAGTTGCATTATATTTCAGTGTATGAGAAGCGTGCCGCTAATAAATAATAGGCAGCTCTGCCAATATTGCGATTGGAATGCTCGAGCTGTTTGTGTGGTTGCAGAGCTGCAGCTCATTCTGTACGACATAACGCTCCCGGACGTTCCAAAATCGCAGCTAATGATTAGAAACTGATTTCAACAACTTATATACACAATCAAAATGTTAGCCTACGCATGAAACGCGAATACTTGGAAATATCACACGAACGATCACATGTGAGGAAGAGCCACAGTCGCAGCGAAGATTAAGCAAACTACGACTTTTTTCCTTTCATTTCGTCAAAAGTAGTTTGTCTCACCTTTATTTCGTCTAAAAGATGGCGAGGTAAGATCCAAGCTTAATAGCATTCCCTCCGTTCCTAGTGCCCGCTCCGGCGTCGCTGCCGTGCTCAGCTGCCACGTTTCGAGCTGCATTGCTTTACAGTCAGCGACGACTGAAAAATTTAAATAGCCAGATCAAGTAACTAATTTTCAATAATGCGGAAAAGTGACGAGAGAACTATGGAGACATGAGACGCGTCGCCTGCGCTCTCAGCACGGCCGGGGGCTGCTGATGGGTCACCGTGCAATTGCACTGAAATATCTCCTAAAAGAATATGTGATCATGGTACCCCAGTAAAAGCCGTGTGATCAGGTCATATGAATGTGAAAATATGTGCAATAATGCACTTTTGTCCTAGCCCACTTTTTTTCGTACTCACCGAGGTTTGTGTAACTAAATGTACCTTATTCTATTTGTGTTTTGCCATGTGTTTACTTCGTTTTGGTCTGTATTTGCCTATAATCTCCCTGCTTTTGTCCGAATGGCAGGGCTGTTGAGCCTTTAGCAGCAGTTCGACGCAACGCATTCCTAAGGGCATACTTGCGGTTGAGCACACCCTCCAGCAACATATGAAGGGCTTTCGGCTGTTCTTCTTGGGCTCCACCTGCAACTGTCGCTCTAACAGTTCTAAGTGCTGCTCCTGGGCCCCGTTGATCTGCAGCCACATGATACGTGCGACTGAAACATGACAGAAACTGCATAGGCGTTACGGAGCTGCATTAACGAGCGTGCCTAGCCGCAGTGCACGCAGTTCTACGAACACGGCAAGGCAGCAACTTATATATGCAAGGCCAAGTGATGAAATACAAGCTCCTAGGGCTACAATGGAGGGCTTACTTTAGGGAAATAGATAGATCGGGTGAATTGGTGAAGCACCGAACACTTGAAAGGCTAAGTCATTACATAAGCATTATAGCGATGTTATAAGAGGAAGAAAATTCACCCTTTTGAAAATTAAATTCAATTGTACTTGTGACGCTGGCATAATTTTCAGCGCTCGAGTTATTATGGCCAGAACTCCAGTGCTTCTCACAGGCAGACACTCCCCAGTTTGGCCTCTCGAGGGAGGGTCCAAGTGATCGCAGCTTCTGCTTCTCTTGTAATGTCCAGGTTGCCAATTTAGTTCAACTGTGGCAGAAGTGCCCCCACAGAAAGAAAAAAGGTCGTGACAGGGGGAAGAACACGACATTGTGCCTTTCGACGATCCTGCCGG